TTCATGCATTTTGTTGGTATAGCAATCAATAAAACATATCAAACAAACAGTGTGTCTTTATTTGTACTCTCAGAATATTAAAGCATTATGAACACTTCACAGAAATGTTTAAAAAAAAGGTTACATCCCTATACGTCCCCGCACCGATACTCCCCCGCACCGGTACATCCCCGCATAGTACACAAAAATTTACTAAGGGGGATTATTTAAAGCTCATTTTCCGGCAAGTTCAATAACGACGTTTGCGACAACCGACTTCGTTGGGGGTGATTTTTTTTTTTCGGAGAACGGACGAAAATCGGGGCGCGCGCAGGATGTCATCCATAAAAATAAAAAAATGTCTCCTTACTTGAAGAAATTCCGGAATGAATGCATAGTGGAACTTCTTTAATTTTTTTTAAAGATTTTCGAAAAAGAGGAAGAAAGATCATATTTCCTAAGGGGAAATGCTTTCAAATAACAGGAGCAAACTAGACCGTTACAGATGTATTCTTGAAAGTCTCTTGTGACAGAAAAAAGAATAAAGTCATGTAGATGAAAGTAATAAAGAACAATTTTCAATAATTAATTTTGGCAGTACTTAATAAGTTTGAAAAGATTTGAAACTTTATAAGATATATTTTTATTTACTGTCATTCCTTATACAGACTTGACATTTAATATGGAATATTTCAGTTTCTACGGTATGCCTAGGTAAAAATGCGTTCTTTTTTCATAAAACTCAGATCTCATATAAGATATCTGGCTGGAGAAGTGTGAAGTCAGGTGTGTCGCTACCAATTAACTGACTACCAAGTCTGTTGCACTGCTGCATTGTGTAATATGCAGTGATTTAATTGGGCAGTGCCCCTTTGGGCTGGTCAAAGCTTGGCTTTGGCGAAGCATGGGTCTGTCAAAAAAGTATTCATATGTGAGACCAGCCCAATGTATCGACATCCTACCACGAGGGCACAGGACTCGCTGTCCTTCAGGATATGCTGCTGCAACTAAACAAAACCCATCCAGTCCGTTCAGAATGAGGGGCAAATTGTGACCAAAACGCGTTTTTCAAGGCTGTTAGCGAATACCAGACTGGTTTTAGCAGGTTAGGATACCAAACGACCTCTGAGGAAGCCACTGTAAACAGCAAAACAGCGTCATCTGTTTCTCTAATGAATTGAGGACCATGACCGTTTCTGGGTAGAACATTGAAACCGCGTGGCTTTCTTTATTGAAGTCAGATTTCACCTGTACCGCTTAACAGGTCAAAACAAAGTTTACAGACATCCTGAAGAGGCCTACGACAAGGCGTGTGCCGCTTCTAAAGTGACTAGGGTCATTGACAGCGTCAGTATTTGGAGTGGATACCACATTAGTTCCAAAACACCAATGGTAGTCAATGATGAAAACCTAAACCAGATGAAATAAAGGAATAATCTGGGAACCATGTGACTATCATTTGACAGGGGGGGGGGACCTTAGGAACAATTTTAGGTTGCACGATGAGATTGCCCACTCACACAGAGCACTTTTAATAGCAGATAACTTACAGTGCCAAGGGATTGAGCAGATACATTGGTCATCAAAATCGCCCTATTTGAACCACATAGACAATACGTGGGTAGGTAATTACTCTCAGAATCAACGGCCTGCATGTCCTACAAAAAAACTGAACCAAATTGGACAAGTTTTGACCGTTGCCTGGAATTTTTTTCCAGATTAAACTCTAAAAACCTATCCTAAGGAATGCCTTGCCGCTTGAAAGCTCTGATAGCAGCCAGATGAGGTCAGGTGTAACAGCGACCGTTGCTGTGACAAGACACTGACATGAGGGTCCTTTGTGGGGTGTATAACTCTTTTACAGACGATAATTTGGAAAATATGGAGATCCAAAATATCGCTTTCAATGGTTGTCGTATGACTTAAAACAGGCAATGCATTTTTGTTTCCTTCACTGGCAAATTCAGTTAATGAACTGATGTCACAATGACATCGAAGAGATAAATAAAAGTTATTAAAACACGATTTTAATCCTTATTTTCATTTATCAGTCAGCAAAACAGAAAAAAAACTAATGAATTATGATTTGGAAAAAATATTCTATATTAAATGTCAAGTCTGCATATGCCGATAACTGGAATGTATGCACCAGTGATAAGACTAAAACAAACTAGGCAACTTTGTAGGAGAGACATTGTTGAACGGTCGAGCGATGTGAGGAAGGCACGCAACTTTCCACGCACAGCAAATAACACGGTATGGAAAAAAAATAACAAATAAGATTTTTTAAAAAATGGGTAAAAACTGAGCTTTAGAAATGGGAATTTTCATAATTCTAAAGGGATGGATTAAGAGGACCAAAACCTCAGATGGGGAATTTTTTGTCTCTGCGTCTGCTTGTCCCTATCACAATTGACGTTTGTTTATATAACCCTTCAATCAAGCTGTTATTACCTTAGGGATCTGTCAAAACTGAATGATTTGATTGGCATGTTGTCAGTCAAAAGGTGAAGGGGAGCTGGAACTTTACATGTTTTTATCTTTGTTTGACACTTATATATCTAGTATCGCTAATTATGGATGTGAAATATGGGGTCATCATCCTGCCCCTGATATTGAAAAGGTGCATTTGGACTTTGGGAAATTTATTTTGGGGGTTAAACGTTCAACCCCTGACTCAATAATTTATGCAGAGTTAGGAAGATTCCCTTTGGTAACCAATAGGAAATTGAGAATGGTTAAATACTGGCTTAAACTGAGAAACACAAATAATTGCATTCTAAAAGAATGCCTTAAATATTTTGAGTATGAATTCCGGACTAAACCATCCTGTGGCAATTGGCTCTCTAAGATTCATGATGTTTTTACAAAAACTGGTGTTAATGATTTTTTTCACTATCCAAGTAATTATGATGAAAAATTTATTGTACCTCTAGTATATCAAAAATTAATGGATATTAAACAACAAGCCATATTGTCAGAGATTAACGATTCGAGAAAGTGCTGGCTCTATAGACAACTCATCGACCGTGTTACTATTCAAACTTATCTTACAAAATCAATCCCGCTCCAGTTTAAGAAAATGATTAGTAAAATAAGATTATCATCCCATAAACTTGCAATTGAAACGGGCAGATATAGTAAAATCTCTATTTCACAAAGAAAATGTTCCTATTGCAATGATGTGGAGGACGAATTCCACTTTATACTGGGTTGCTCTAGATATTTAGATTTAAGAAAAAGGTTCATCAAACCTTTCTATTGCAATAGACACTCGGTGTTCAAATTGGTTCTCCTGCTGAATTCTTCCAGTAAGATAGTATTATGTAACCTGGCACGATATCTTAGCCAAGCAGGAAGGCATCGGCATGAGATCTAATCTAATTTGATCTAATTTGATCCAATTTGATCTCATTTGATTCAATTTGATTTAATTTGATTTATTTAAGTAGTTTATTTATTTAAGTACTCATGTATTTAATTTACTAAAGGTACTATTATTATTGTTATGATGATTATGATTGCGATTATTTCTATTATAATTATTCTTTGTAATAACCCTATAGTTGTTGTAACTATAGTCGTTGTAACATTTGTACCAGTACTAGACTGATGGTCCTCAAGAGACCAAGGTAATAAATAAATGAATGTTCAACAACTGTAGTTATCAACTGCGTACTGATTGTGATTGACGTTTGTTTATAAAACTGCCAATCTAAGTCGTGTGCTTTGACAGCTTCATCAAAATTAAATTAAACCGCATGAGTTTGATTGGTACCTGTCTATCACAACACTTTTGTTACCTTTAGTTAGTAGAAAGCAAAGTACATTTTCCATGCAGCTCTATCTTTGATAATTATTATAAAAAGCATTATATTTACCCCCGCGACCTTGAATTTTGATACGGATTACCGTACAAACATTGATTTTATTGCTAGCTGCTCTCTAATGTTACTTCATTCTTCAGACTTGTGCTGTGTGAAAAATAAACATGCGGAGACATTTGCGCCCTAAATATATACTAAGCTCAATAAAAGCATGTTATTTGATCATATAAATATAGAAAGTTCTCTGTCACAAAATCCATCCTTACTCTGAAATACTGGTACAGACTGAGAAAAGGCGTTTTTCAGGCGTCTGGACTGGTAGTTTAATTTGGTGCATGGGGGGGGGGGGGCTAATATCTTCAACTTTGCAAAAGTAATCTTGTAAGAGTAGGTAGTTGTTGCTGAAGTTTCGTTCGCAAAGGTAATTGAAACAATTGGCAGTATTGTTCGTACGCTAGTTTTCACAGCCCCGTACGAGGCTCCCCTTGGGTATTTTCCTTACCATTGAAAGCCACTATTTACTTCCCAAGATTCGTGAAACGTTTATTCTATTTAGCATGAAGCACCCCATTCCTGTGACTCGTATATGCGGCTTTTTATTCTCCGTTATTCGTGAAAGAAAGTCGTTATACCCTGTGATTCGTGATTTTTGACGCGCATTTTCAGGGATGTATGAATAGTTTTATTTACTGTAATTAATGAATTGATGATTTTATTTCCCGTGAATTGTGATCACCCCCCCCCCCTCAATTGCACCCTCTCATACGGCAGCTGGGCTGTATCCTCCCGAGGAAGGTGAGAACATTTACACCTGGTCTGAGTCAGCATTAGTTAAGTCAATCCTAGATGTGACAACTCCAGTTAAATAAGTTGTACTCACGCTGGGCCCAACTGAATAGCGCTGTCACTAATTTTAACGTTACATACAAATCGGGTAAACAAAAAACGCATCTCGTCTTCTCTAACACAATCGGTACAGGTTTTTTTTTGGGGGGGGGGGGGGATGAAACATAACCAAATAATTTGATATCAAACCTAATGGTTGATAAGATGTTATTATTTTTGCCATTATGATGGTAGAAAGCCTAAATCACCATCCAGGTATTAGGACCCATTGCGCCAAATCAAATAACAAAAACAAGTTTAAATCGAAACGTGCGTACGAAAAGCGGGTGACCTGTACATTATTATGTAATACAGGTGAGCATTTCGGTGAGAGGTGCTCAGATAGGACCAAGGTCGGTAGAAGATGAAGAAGCCAGAGGTTCATGGTACGTTGCTGCAATTTCCACATGTGGGCCAAAAATTTAGCACAGAAAATGACAGGAAGCTGCCGTAGTATTGCACAGATTATACAAGATAACGTTGTGTATTTTGTGTTAATGAAGTTTGCCCAAATGTTGCATATGGCACTGGGGCATTTTAGTCCTTATTACTGTGGGAACATTGCACTTATGTCTAATACACTCTCTATTAGAATTTCAAAATCAGCTCAAAGTTTGAAGGATTTGTTTTCTGTAATTTCAGAGAAGGAACGCACTTGCCAATGAAGAAGTGAGGGGCTTATTGCAGCCGTCCAAAGGTCTGAACAAGCCCTCAACAAGTAAGACGACTGGGCAGGTATCTACATTCTCCTAATTGTTTTATTCGCGAGGTCACTGGCCTGTTTTCAAAGTATCAAAAATATCTTGTATATGAAAGTAAACTTCAAACAGACAAATGCACATTCAGTAACAAGATGTTAAACTATTGTCTCTCTACATTCCTGGAAACGACAGGACAGGTTGGGGAGGTGAGGGGTGGGTGGGGGCGGTTGACGGGGCTACAGTGTCCCTCCCTTAGTTTAAGAGGTTTTCCTTCTCCCTCACAAACAAACAAATCTAAAAAGGAACAAGAAAAAATCTAAAGCGCAAAAAAATACATGGCACGAAATAAGACGAAATCCAGCTAATGTATCCTCATGTCCTGGCCCCCTCCCCCTGAAAACCGTGGCTTGGTCAGTGAAAACGTGACTAATGTCTTTTTTTAGATCCTGTCAATTTTATACTAATGTTCTCATTCACTGACTTTCATTTTCGCGAATATTTCCGTAATCCGGGCACCTGGTCCTGTCATATCGCATCTTACATATGACTGCAAAGAAGTGTGTTGTCATTAAACAGTGTGCACAGGGTAGAAAAGAACAGGAATGGCACAATAGTGTTTTGTTAACATAATCCCATGTGTTCCAAAATAGCATGCTGTAAAGATATACACATACTGCTTCATCAAACCGTGTCGTGAATGTGATTTTCTTCGTTTATTTCAGTGGCTCCCAACTGCTGTTTACCGGGTGATTGGATGCGTCGCCGATCAAAGATATCAGATTCATGTTGGACATCGCCTGCGCCCATGCCAAGATTGTCTCGCTTGTTGAAATTTGTCTTGCAGGGTTGACAATTGATATGAAATGTAATCTTTGCCTTGGATAATAATATTCTGCGTAAAACGTGTATCAAATTAATTGTTGCACGCACCAAGAATTTTTTAACGAAACTTCTGATCAGAGAAAAAGAAAGAAATGGATGAGTGCTATTACCCTGGTTATACATTTGTTTCTAAATTGTAGTACAGTACTCTATCCGCTCATATCGTTTCAAGGTATTTTATTTATCATGTATATTTATTATTGTGTCAGGAGGAGGTACCCGTCAGTTCTGAAAAATAAACACGGCACTTTTTGGAGTTCACCTTCAACGAAATAATTTTAATCCAAAAAGCATTTTGCTGAAGTGATGGATGAAAACAAAAATGAAAGTTATGAAATACACTTATTATTATAAGGCGATTTTTAGGTAGAGTACTGTGCCAGCACTATTGATTTCCTAGTTGAAGGTAAAATTTTTCTGTGGGCAAATCTTCAGTTAGTCACTTAGCTGTGCATTTGAAGATGTTTTAAATATTTGTTTTGGATTGAATTGAACTGAAAATTCTAAGAAATTCCGAGGAGAAAATATCTCAACTTTTTCATATGAAACTTTTGAGAGACAAACGGTTACATATATTGATAGTTAAGTTTGAGAAAAGAACAAGTTATTTTAAAATAACTTACAAATACTGATCTTTAAGTTATCATGCTTTGGAAATTACAGCGTTATGAAAATGACAAAATTTGTCCACGTGATTGCAGAATTGCCCATGTATAAGAAACGATCCTTTTTTAAGTTGTGGATATGCGTTTGTGACGCATGTTAAGAATGAACTTACTTTGGTTTCGGTGTTTTGGTATTGTGTCTGATCAGTTAGAGAGAGATATACATTTACTGTGCTGGGAAGGGTCTAAAACAATGTTAAGTAAATGAAACCAGGGGAGGAATTGGGACTTTCACGAAATAACTGCACATTCGTTATTGCAGTACAGTAGGGGAATATATGTTACCCACGTGATAAAATTGTCCCTTCTTAGGGCCACCCAAATTTATCAGCATTGCACGAGTCCATTTGTGTGTTGTTCGACTTTTTGGTGGTGGTGGTGGTGGTGGTGGGGGGGGGGGGGGTTCAAGTAACGTTCACCTATGTACTTTGTTCTAAATGCTTTTTTAATTAATATTTCTTTGGTCGTGATCAAGGGGTGATTGAGAGGAAAAGGTCTGATTAGATGCCAGTCCAGCACGTCCTGTTGGGGTATTTTTGCTGACTGTTTCTAGATCACTGAATAACAGAGACCAGAGTAAGGGTATTAGCTCTTATGAATTAGTGAATCTTAAGTCACCGTTGTTGTTATTGTTTTTTCTTTGTAATCTTTGCAGTTTTGTTTGTATATTTTTCTTAAATTGTTATGACCAGAATAAGCTTGTAAATTAACCATGTCTTTATGCCGTTCCTGATTCACATGTGTGCAAATTTGTTTTCGCTCAAAGTCGTGCCATTAACCTACCAATGTTAGGATGTAATGAAATGAAAACAAAATAATGTAAAAAACTCGATTCTTAAAAATGACTTTTTTGTCTGCCTTTTTCTGTGCGAGAATCGGCACAACGGCATAGAACAAGGTATGCGTGAGTGCGAGTGCACTTGAGGGGACGACACCTATGTTCGATTATATGCATTTTGGTATTTCGATATCATTCACACCACTGAAATTGGACACATTGTTCCTCGATGGGATAAGTAGTCAATTATTAACGTCAACAAAAGTTCATAAGTATGATATGGTTGACTTTCAATTTATCTACCGGTTCTGGTCAATTTTTTATGAATTTTGTTTGGGTAAGCATTAATGTCGAAATTCTTTTTTGTACAAATAAAAAGAATTCGTTGTTTGAGCAGCAATTTCCAAAGTGCATAAAATCCTTCATATGTGTTAGTTAATCTACCATCTAGTAGACTTCTTTTTTTTTTTTTTTTTTTTTTTTTTTAATTTTTGTAAAAGCATAATTTATAAATTTCTTAGAAATTTGGCGCTATTATAATGATTGCTACCAATGTAGAAAAAATGTAACTTCAGGTATTTTGTTTTGTAAAAAACTATGTTAAAATTACTTGGAATTTGTTGAAACAATAAATAATGAAAATAATGTGCAGATATTTGTATGTTGAATTCCCTTTCATTTTTCACCTTCTGTTCCCTTTAGCTCGACTTGAACTCTCGTATACAGCTCTGTTGTCTTACCTATTGAGCCACTAACTCAACTAGCCTCTTCTAAAATGTGGGATCCTCTTGTATTAGTTCACCTTGCTTATTTGAATTTTTTTGCAAAAGGTAAATTGCTGGGACCCAGAATTGCCAGGATTCGAACTGGGGACTTCCTGACTTAGAGGAAAGCGCGTTACCTACTCCTCTAAGTGTTCCCACCCACCCTCCTCGTGAAGACTTCCCTCTTATAGTAACCAAAGGGAAAATTCTGTAAAGCCCCGTGAAAAGTATTCAGTGATTTCCAATTATCCGAACCAGGAAACGAACCCAAACCCATGTACCACTGAGTCAATGAAATTCTTGTAGTTACCAAAGTAAAATTCTAAAAAAAATCCCAATACATTAAAGAAATTTTAGAAACGTAAGCCAAGGTCGAAGCCCAACCCCAGGCTGCCGCTGAGCAACGCAACCGTCAAAGAAATAACTAAGACATTTTGTATACTTGGAAAGTCTTTATTCAAGTTTAAGAACAATTAAATCACTACTTAATCACTTTGAATATCCGTAAGACATGCATCTAATAGACAAAGTTACATCTGTTCATTCAAAGGTGTAACAACAAATGTATTACATGTCACCAATAAACGGTCAAAACTATTCGTTTATGATTTGATGTTATCGATATCTACAAGCATTTCAAAAAAACTCAGAACAAATTTGAGAAATTGACAGTAATTAAAGAGATATAAAGCAGTTCATCAAATATTGCACAAAAATGTGTGCACCACTGATTAATAAGATCAATAACTTGTGGCTATTTCTATATTCACATGATTTATTTGATTTATTATTACCATAGCATAAGACATGTAAAAAGGAACATTTCATGAAAATCGCTGTCGGGGGAAAATATATCAGTAAATTGTTGTAACTTTCAAATGATCTTTCTAAACACTCACTCTTGTTTTATGAAAAGAATTGTAAAGTTGAGCTATTTAAGCTTTTGTGGACGATCAAAAGTTTCCATATTTTTGCTTATTTTATTCGCACGACAACGTAACGCCAAGTCACCACTCGTTACCATGCTGGTTCTTTCGCCCAAAAAAATTCGGAAACATCGTTATTTGAATAGTTATAAAATAACCATACGGTAAATATTTTAACCAAATACTGATGGATAATGAACCCGCCATTTCTTAATACTTATCTACACAGGACACTTTTCCAACACATTACATATTTTTTGGATTATTGAAAAACAAGCTTCACGTTTCCGAACTTTTTTGGTCGCGTGTATCATAACCTGCAATCTCCCAGGGACGCTGGTTTCGTGTGCACTTTTCTCTGACGCATGTAGGTCAGAAAAGTCCCATCGTTTAACTAGAGACATATCTGTGAAAACGTGTATCTATTGAAAAATCAATCTGTGACCCTGGTACTATAGAAGGTAATCATTATTGTAGTACCATTTAACAAAGGCAATGTTGAAGGTCTTACGAGAATAGAGCACTTTGAAAGGTATAAGGGGCAGATATCTTTACTGAAATAAACCAAACCTGTATCTGATGACCACGCAGTCTTAAACATGCCATATTTCTAGTACCCAATGCTTTATTTTTAAAGGTATCGACAGAAGGTATCGATAGAACGATTAACATTTGTTTGAAACAGTATTTTGGGCTATCAGTTCGCCCCCTATGCCTTGTAGGGTTGACATTGTTGGCCAGTGAAGCCACACTTTTTAAAGCTCCCGTCGTACAAAAATCTGTACAATGTAGCTATAATTCAACTTATATATTCAACGGAGTAAAGTAGTACAGCTTGACCAGTGAAATCGTGCCGAAATTAGAAATGGAAGTGTAATACTTATACAGTATACCTAATGTCTGTTATGCTCTTTTTATTTCGACCAACGGCTTACTACAAATATTTACACGTCAGTAAAAAGGAATTAAATGGGGGATTCCACAGCATTTCCCCTTTCTTGCCTGCTTCTTGTAAACATACTCCTGGTACGTCTTCAACTGCTGATACTTTTTCTACCAACGAAGTTCGAAACAGTTTTCATTTCCATAGGACGTGATAAGGTGAAGTTATGGAGGAAGCAAAATGTTGTGGGGGAAACACTGGGGAATGGCCAAGCTATTTTTATGCATGCACGCGTCACAGTACTTTTATAAGATTAATTACAAAAAAGTGACCATTAAACCCCTAACATTGATATATTGAAACGTTATACTGAATAGGTTGAAACATAAATATTCGTATACTTAATTTCCAGACCGCCTCGCATCCACTCCCCGATCACGGAAGGTGTAACAACTCTTCCCAGAGAGTAGGTTCAATTTGCTTTTTGGGGGAAGGGCTAATGTTTTTCTGTCCAACCCTCACTCTTATCTGACAAGCAAAACTTGATTAAAATTTTATCAAAATTAAAATGCATATATATATTGCATTTGTGTTAAATACATTTCAAAAACCAACCAGAAGAAAACACCCATAATGAAATAATATTATGTAGGTCAATGGAGATTCTAAAATGGTCCACTGCTTTTATCTGAACACTTTTCGCCATGTTTGACAAACTGGGCAGTACTATAACGCCACCTGGAGGAAGATATGATCGTCACTGAGAAATAAGTCCCTACCACATTATGATATCAACATATTACATGTTGCTGTATATGACATTTATATGTATGTCTTTGTATGTCCACACATGAATCTACAGTAACGTACTCTACAGTAACGTACTTTTCTCGTCACGCCGGTTTATTTGGACTTCTTAAGTGGGATGATTTTTTCCGAGAACATACCTTACACCAGTGACAAGGCAGAAATGCTGTCATGTGTACAGACAGATATATAACACATGGCGGAAACACTGACATGAAAACGGTCTACTGTCGCTGCACTGGGGGTAAATTAAGGAAGCCATTTAAAAATGGATGTGCACAAAATGTTTGATACAGTATAATTATGATAAGGTTTATTTGGGTTCTTGGCTGAGGGACTGTGGAAGTATTCTGTTCACACGTATGTTAAGATACTTCATAGTATATTACCACTTCATGGGATAAGAATTACTACTTCATGATAGAAGGCGACTTCATTGGTTGAAAAATAAGGCCCCTTAGGAGACTTCATAGTATATTACCACTTCATGGGACATTGTATCCAAACATGTTTTAGTTCTGGTTGGATGTGGAAATTAGGCGTAAAGGTCGATATGTTTCATTCTAGACCATGATTTCGAGTGACACGTGTATTTGCAATGGGGTGGGGTGGAGTAACATTACTCACTCACATGATAGTGCGTATTTTATCTCGTTGGAGTTTATTGAAGCTGTTATTTGCAGATGTTCTCGTAGATGCCCGTGAGTTTAACTTCTATAAATAATGTACATTATTTCAAGAGCTCCGGCCTTGGGACGGAAGCATAAAGCTAGTCATTTGTTTTACCCATTTAGT